GTCACATAATCCGCACATGTTRTATTTTCCTAGGGTTTCCGAATGATTTATTTTTATAACTTATCGAATAACTTTCAAATTTTATGATCGATTACATAGCGATTTCGCGCGTCTCAGTTTGCTGGTAAATTTCAAACGACAAATTGTCGTTAATTTTCGCCGGGACGCAGCGTTCACATGGCGTATTGCGCGAAATATCTACTAATCGAATCATTTATATATAATATATATAGATAATTTTTCGATCTGAAACGTAAAAATTGTCTTCAAAATTCGGTCCAAAGTCTTAAAAACATATTAAAGTTACAATTTCGTTAACAGAGCGTCCGCCACCGTGGATTAACCGGACATTTAAATTATTAAGTATTTAAATTCAATAAATTATTTATTACRAATTGACGTCGATTTGTAGGTATCTTATAATTTTATATGCTCAAAATCACCAGTAATGTTATAAAATCGTCATAACTTGATCAATAACTATTAAATATTTTGCCATCACATATTATATTATTTTATTTCCCGTATCAATAATTATTGTACTAATAAATTAATTTTAAATTTAGAAAAAATCAATCAAAACCATATTTGCAGAATATGTCTGGAGTACAATTTAAGTACAAAAGATACAATTTTATAATTTCTAAATACTATATTATTATCGATACAACAATACATCATATTAACAATAATGGTGAAACCTTCCTTTTACGRACAGCAATTTTTTCGGGATGTGGACATCTTTACTACATTTTAACTTGTTTGGCCTTCATCATTTTTATTATAAATTTAGAATATCTGCACGTGTGATGCCTAAATATTACTATTAGGCACTATCATTATCTTATCCGTTCAACCATTGATATGTTATTACGAAAATATTTTCTATATAGCTTATGTTATATAGTATTAAGTTGTGTGTATAATATACTACGTAAATTGTAWATAGTTTGAAATGGTCACAAAATTAAATKAAATTAATTTTGTACATAATTATAATCATTCTCCAGCACAATTAAACTCGAAAATCCCTGGACATACGAAACACGACTACGCATCAAACTCCAAACTAAATTTTGCAACTGTTTTTTTTAATAATAGCTAGTTTATACCTCAAAATATATTTTTCAGTTAGTAATACAATATTCATTATCATTGCATACAAATGAAATGCATAAATA